GGCAGGAGAGGAATCCGGCCCTGAAAGACATACAAATACAGGCTCTGGCCCTAGCAAAGGCCAGGGCTTCGCTTTAAATACTCAGGGCCGGCTTTCTCAAATGCCGTCCTGATCTAGGGCGGCAGGAGAGGAATCCGGCCCTGAGAACATCCAAATACGAAGCTCTGGCCCTAGCAAAGGCCAGAGCCTACAAATACAATCCTCAGGGCCGATTTTGAGGGAAATCGTCCACATCATTGACGATCTCCTCTCATTTCGGCCCTGAAAGAAAAAAATACACAGGCTATGACCTCTGCTAAGGCCATAGCCTCGCTTACAATCTACTTTGCCGAATCTCGGGAGATCCTCCAAATCACGGCGCTTCTCCCTGAGATTCGGCAAAAGCATTTAAAATACAGCTACTGAAAGCCAAGAAGGGGGTCCTGACCTCGAGAAAGGGCCCCCTTCTTGGTCTTTCTGAGGAACTTTGGTTCGCATTGCGGGCGTCTGCTGCATCTTTGGACTGGAGCAGCAGACACTCGCAATTTTGGATCATCACAAGTGCATTTGTGATTGAAGAATGCACTTGCGATGACTTTGGTGCAATTTCGAGAGAATTCTCTATTGATCATGATAAGTGCACTATAGCATCATATGTGCACTTACCATGATCAATAGACTTATTCTCTCGCTGCATTCGCCGAAAGAACAAGAAGACATTCGCAATCACATCTCAACTTGAATAAAACTCTAATATTTCTTTATAATAGTACTCTACTCATTCATAAACTCACCAATAATATATCGTGACACAATTTTTATATTCATATTTCGATATTTGAATTAGTTATATAAGATGTCATACTATAAGTTGTGAGATATTCATATATTATATATATAATATTGTTATATGAAGGCTATATAATATGCGCATAAGAATATTTGATCTAAATATTGACTTTTGATAAATTTATAATGTGAATAACTTGGGTCCAAAAATATTTTCCATTCATTGCTACACGTTTAGATGCGCACATATATAGCGCATCTGCCCCTAAAAGATCATGTCTGAATATCAACCTTTGCCGCTGCATACTGTTCAAAAGGACAATCGTGGTATGGAAAAATTCACCTCACATGGTATCGTCTCCGTCAACATAGTACATGCCGTCAATGTAGAACAATTGTCCTTGGTTTACTGAGTATCCGTCCTTAGCAATTTAGTAGACCAATTCTCTATATTTCAATTGTTTTTCTTTTTTGAATTCTTGGCGGGGTATACATCGAAGACTTCCTTGTATTCTTTGTTGCACCTATTGTAATGCATGAAAAAGGGGTTCATATCATGTTTGCCACTTTACATTTGTAAACTAATTTTTTAAAGACTAAGATATAAATGCAAAGTTCCCGTATAAATCATTTTTTACCTTCAATACCAAATTGTTAATTCATTTGAAAAGAAAATAATTGTAATTAAAAATCACTTAATTATTCTTTATATTAAATAATTGATTCATCCATTTAGTATGTCCAAATTATTTTGATTATAAATACAAATAATAAAACTTGGAATATCTTTTAAAATTTTGAATAATATCCATTAAATAGCAATTTTATAAGACAGGTTTCTTCATTGAAAATTTCAAAAATTAAAAAAATGAGCTCATTTTTATCAGATCATTAATTATTTTCATTAATATTTGAATACTTTTCTTAAAAAATTTGAATGTATGCAGATTTTTTTGATTATTTATTTTAAAATGGAAGAAATTCAAAATCTGTTTGATAATCCAATGGATATTATTTATTTCCAACTCACTGGTATACTAGAAGATCAGGTTTTAAGAGTAATCCGAGAGAAATATGATATTTATATCAAGAATCGAAAAGTTTCACTTGCTTCATTATCAAAAGAATTACATATTGGTAAGAAAAAGCTCAAGAAGATATTTTCTGCTTTAAAATTCGAATTGAAACCACAAAGCAGACAGAAAAAAGAAACAACACCCGAAATACTTGAAAAAGTATTAACAACAAAAGTATGCTTCGATGTAGGTTACAAAAGAATTAAGGATTCATATTTTATTAGCGATAATTTACAAAATTTCCAAGATCAATATTTGTTTATACATCATAAAAAATCATATAAAAGCACGATAACGAATATGTAGCTCAATATAATAATCAAATCTGGCACGAGTAGGTGACAAAAGTGCATACTCTTAAATTAACCTTAAATGTTGATTTTTCGATATTTTCGGTATTAACCTTATTGTAAATTTTTCCGGTGATAAATTTATCACACTGAGGTTATTTTTCCGGTGAGATTTTTAACCTTGATTTAATGAAATTAATATATATAAATTTTATTATTTTTAATTTCGAATGAGTATAATAAAATATTTTTTTATATCGTCATAACTCTCATCACTGTTGTGATTCCAAATGCGATTATTAAGGTTCAAGTCGCTAATGTTTTGAATGAAGATAGAGCAGTAAGAATTCTTACAAGGGCAGGTAATCAGATTGTTGAGCAAAGAGCTTCAAAACACGATGAATGTTTGAAATTAATTCAACACATTTTGGAAATTGTCGAAAGCCGAAGGATTGAACCTAATGTCCTTATTCCATCTTTGAAGGCAATATTAAATTTGGCACAAAGAAGTTTAAAGGAAGAGTAAGCAAGATTAGATAATTTGGACTTTTTTTAAAATTAATGAATAAACAGTATATTTTTGAAGTGTAAGCTTATTTACCTGAAGCTATATTACTTAATATAACATTCAAAGTATTATTGCTATTTATTGGAGAACAAATTTATGTAATTTTCACATGAAAATTGATAAATTTGTATTTCCTTATGATAATCAACTTTTGTATTTGTAGAGAGTCTCCCTGCATGATATCAAGACTTGGCTATAAGTCTTTATCCATTTTTGAAAATTGTATTGTAAATTGTAAGAATTTCTGAATACTACTACTATAAAATATAATTGCTTATCTATGTATATTCTCCCTGCATGATATCAAGACTTGGCTATTAGTCTTTATCCATTTTTGAAAATTGTATTGTAAATTGTAAGAATTTCTGAATACTACTACTATAAAATATAATTGCTTATCTATGTATATTCTCCCTGCATGATATCAAGACTTGGCTATAAGTCTCTATTCATTATGAGTATGACCCCATTTTTTTTACAAAAAGTGCCGAATTGCAACTTTGTCCCAATCTCAATCTGGCACACAGATTTAAAGTACGTTAAAATTAATGATACAGAATTTTTAATTTGATTTCATTTATAAAAATTGATTATGATGTATTGCCTAAGAAGGAAATGAAATTTACATCGCATGCCTTTAGGCATGCAATCTCAAAAGTTGAATCAACTCCACATACAATCATTACCGACAACGGAACCGAATTTGGCGATAAAGAATTTCGGCAATTCTGTGTGGATCATAATATTCAGCATAATTCAACGCCGCCATACACACCTGAGGAAAATGGAAATGTGGAGAGAAATTGGCAAACTCTCTTCAAAACAAACCCAGGTGTAGACACGATTGAGTTTAAACCACATGTAATCAAAGAATACAATACGATATGGAAGCACAATTCATTAGAAAAAAATTTCGGAAGAAAATTAACTCCAGAACAAGCCCGGAATGAAGGACAAAAGTGGTAACAATTGTTCAAAAAAGAAGATAAAGATGTTGCATATAAATTGAAGTTAGTATACATATGTTGCGTACTGTGGCACTGCGCACCTACTTACCCATTATATGTGAATTTGACACTTTACAAAACCGTTAACGTACATTTTACAACACAAACGACAACACTAACTTAACCTTAAATATTTATAAAGCCGCCAACCACTTCACCTCACTACTGTAAAAAATAAACGTTCTCACTTACAAAAGTATTGCAACTCCTCCCATTGCTGTGCTTCACTAACGACTTCACTAACGACTTCACACGTATGAAAACATAGCACAAAAATAAATTTAGGTGAAGTGGTGAGATCTCACCTCTTTTTTCACCTGTTTTTTCACCCTGTTGAATTCATTGCTTTATAACTCTCTTCCTTTCTCCAACTCTTCTAACTTCTTCCTAAGTTCAGCAATGTTGTCCTCATGAAGTTTAATCTTTCTCAAAATTCCTTCTTTATCTAATGGTTGCTTTATCTTTCTAAACTGAACTCTACCATCCTTCATAGTATGAATGTAAAAACCTTCTGGAATAGTTCCTGATTTAATGTATTCTACCAAAAACTTTTGTTTCATTGCTTCAGTGATTTTATTTGTCATTTTACTCTAAGGTGAAGCTAGCACAGCGATAATGGATTTCATGACTTTTTAGTATTTCATGCAATCTTAACAGATAGCCTTACAAGTACTTCCAGTGTCCCTAGCTGTCCCTCCTTTTTATATAACTCCATGACATTTATAATCTCGCGAAACTTAACAGGTAGCATAACAGATTAAAATCAGATGAGGTTTTGAACCAAAATTTCTAAGCAACGTTGTCAAGGATTTTGAGGAACTAGGGACAAAGTGTGGCAAAGTCCAAGATTTAATTTATCTTCATCTGTTTCATCAGCTATCTCATCTAATATGCCAATATTTTATTCATAACTCGTGGCAAACCCACTAACTTTCATTATGTTCATCTGCATGCTTCATCTGATAGAAAGTATGACTTTCATTAACTCTGTGAGATAATGAAAACTACTAGGGACAGAGACCATGGCAAAGTTTATGACTTTCATTATTTCCAGAACTTAATGAAAACTACTAGGGACAGAGACCATGGCAAAGTTCATGATTTAATTTATTCTCTCACTAACAACAAACACAAACTCCAACACTAACATCAAGTACTAACTTCAGCACAAATGACAAACACTAACAACAAACACAAACTCCAACACTAACGACAAGTACTAACTTCAGCACAAATGACAAACACTAACAACAAACACAAACTCCAACACTAACGACAAAAATAAATGTCCTCACTTCTTAACAAAGTAATATGTGCTTCTTACACCACCATAGCTCAAACGTTTCTTTTCAAACATCGATTGAAACTTATTTTGAGCCATTGGCTTTAGTCTCTTTTTCTTCAAATACGCCAAGAAATCTTCTTCACATCTTTTCACCTCATAGCCTTCTTTAAACTCCTCCTTGTTAAGTTCTATGAAATCCTTTATAACATTCTTTGTTGCAATGGCTTCTTCACGAACGACATCGTGAACTATTTCATCATTGCATTCATGTATGACCTCCTCACTGTTCTCATGAACTATTTCAACACTGTTCTCATGAACGACCTCCTTACTGTCTTTCATAAGCGTTTCAAAGTCTCCTTTACTCATTACTTCAATCTCATGCTGTTCACAGTAGTACTTAAACTCACTGTATATGTCTTTGTTGTATGTTATATTGCTTCCCATGTACTCCATGAATTTTTCAAGCACTTCCTCATAATTCACTGTTTCTTTCTTTCCACGACCTTCTAATATCATACTTGCTTCGTAAATATAACTTCTTGCAGAACCGTCTCGCTTTCTACTTCTCTTCACAAATTCTCTCATCTTGCCGCCAAATACATTTGAACTACATGCAAAGAATTCATTCTCCTTCGCAAATTCTTTATATCTTCTGTAGCACTCTGTACAATTCCATCCGGATACAAACTTTTCATAGAACTCCTCGTAAAACATTTGGTAAGGTGTTTTGTTCATTTCTATGAGTTCTTGTTTAGCCCTGGTGAATGGTATCTTCCTTACATCAAATTCACTTAAATCTTTCTTCATGAAGTACGTCAGTAAGTTTGAATAAAACTCTTCATTAAAGCTTTCAATGAGATTTGAGAAATATTCGTAATTTCCTTTGGATCTGCTGCTTACGTCAATGACAACAAATCTTCTGTCGTCTTTGTCAATCTTTACTGAGATGAAGTTGTTAGATATCATGATGATATTACAAACATTCTCTATCTTTCTTACTGGCTGACACTTCTGATTTAAGTCCAACTGAGTCTCTGTTACTATTGACTTTAGTGCGTCGTGGTTCATGACCTTAGACGTATCGCATGAGCTTAGTTCATTGCATACGATGAGCTTCATGTTCTCAATAGCAGCATTGAATCTACCAACCACATTCTCTATTGCCGTTATATTATTGTTGGCGTACTTGCTAATGAGCTCGCATAGAACATTACTAAGTACATTCTTACCAGTTCCTTGCTTTCCTGTTAACAAAAGTACTGTTCCAGTCTTTCCACAAGGATTTTGAACGATGTAGGCGAACCAGTTCAAAACATACTCATAAAGCTCTTCATCCTCATTACATATGACATCGTGAACATGTTTCAAATATCCTTCAATAATGCTTTCATCTACTTCATTCAGTACCTCATACTCATATCCTCTGAAATAGCTGTAAATGTCATCTCTTTCGTCAAAGAATCTCATGCCTGACTTCATAAGATAGTTCTTGTTCTGACCCGCTTCATAAATCATCAGTGCGTTCACATCCTTCTCTTCAATACGTCCTACATAAACACTCTTCATGAGCTTATTGAATTCCTTGCTATCTACTGACACAAGTGTTGTTGTGTCTCGTATTCCATCATAATCTTTCACTAGATATGTCATACGTGCTCCGTCAATAACGACAACACATCTTCTTAAGTCATTTATAACACTAGCTATGTCAATACCTTCTTCACTCATGTACTTATTTCTCCTCAAGTCCTTTAGTGTGAAAGTGTCTCTAAGTTCTATTTCAAGCAATTCATTTACACATCCTTTGCAATACTTCTCTATAAAATATTTCTGTCGTTCTTTACTAAGTTTCTTAACAGCTCTGAAGAACCATGTGTTTTGACTCAAACATCCTTCACAACTTCTCTCATTCATTCCTAGTTCTTTCATGTCATTATCTTCAACCTCTATGGTCTCATTGACTAAGGTCAAAGGGTTCTTAGTCATTGCTGGTCTTATCTGAAACAATGTTTGTGCAACAGGTTTAACTAGTTCAGCAACGTCCTTCCTTAATATGAATAGCTGTTTCCACTCATCTTTGCTAACAGTTCTTTCATAACCACTGACAGTAATGATTTCATTTGCTGACCTTAGACACTTATGTTCTATCATTTGTATTGCTTTTGTGTAAGGCTTTCGTGAGCATAGGTTGTATATGTCATTCCTGCAATGTTCATTCATGCCAATAGTACTAAATCCTTTCTTTGCTGTTGAGTGCATAATATCCATTAGTTCCTGTGTTCGTATTGCTGTCTCATAAAATACAACAAGACCTTTGTCATCTATGACGTACTTACCGAAAACATTGCTTATATTCTTTAACCATGAAATAACATCCTCATTCATGCTGTCAAACATGAAGTAAGGTCTTACATACTCTTCACTTATAAGATACTCCACAAAATACTTGTTAAGCTCTATGTCCTCGTGAGCGATTTCATTAGGTTTGATATTAGTTCCTTTTGTCATTGCTGTCATGTACTTCACTCTCATAGTTCCTTTCAATAGCTTAAAAATACTTTATTGTTTCATAACTGCTCTAAATTCTGTTCAAAATTCGTACAACATAACTTTTTAACATTAGTGAAAGAACATGAGCGAAACAACAACATCTAACATTACAGAAGAAGTCAATGACAATGCCGATGAAAACATTACAGAAGGAGCTAGTGAAAATATTGACGAGTTCAGTGAGGAAGAAGATATTGAGGATGTCAATGAGAACGTTAGTGGGGAACAAACTCAATGGGAAACATTGAGAAATCATGAAGATTATGAGATTTGTACGACATATCCTTTTACTATTCGTCGAAAGAAAGACAAACATATTATGAGTGAATGCTTAAATAATTATGGTTATATTGTGCTTAGTTTAAACAACAAAATGTACTTAAAGCATAGAATTATTGCAGAACAGTGGATTGAAAATCCAAACAATTTGAAAGAAATAGACCATATAAATCATGATAGAACGGACAACAGAATCTCAAACCTTCGTTGGTGTTCTAGATCTGAAAACAATAGAAATAAAAGCAAGTATGGCGATATAGTTTATGAGTTCGTTGATGAAATATCTGACGAAGCTGTTGAAATAACAGATTATGGTAAGCATTCGTTTGAGTTCTACTACTATGTTGAGAATGAGGACGCATTCTATTATTATACAGGTCTTAACTATCGAAAACTTCATATAAACTTTACAAAAACAGGTGCTGCTTATGTTTGTATGATAGATACAGAAAACAAGAGTGTAATCTTATTCATAAACAAATTCAAACGCTTGTACGGCTTCATGTAGGACAAACATTATTTTTCAACACTAACGCCAACACGTAGGACAAACATTCATGACTAACATTACTGTATAACATAGACACTAACTTCATATAGAACCGAGCAACTTTCTAACTGTCGACATTCTTCCACTTGCTTCAAACACTAATGAACGTGTCAAAATGAGCGTAAAACACTTTGTCAAGACTTCTTCGTATATGTTTTGTCATGACTTTGTCAAGATTTCATCATAAATCTTTTGTCATAAGTTCTTCGTATATGTTTTGTCAAACTGCATCGAAACTAAACGTAAATGCTTTGTCATGATTTCTTCGTAAACACTTTGTCAAGATTTCTTCGTAAATGCTTTGTCATAACTTCATCGTAAATGTTTTGTCATAACTTCATCGTAAATGTTTTGTCATGACTTCATCGTAAATGATTTGTCAAACTGCATCGTAAATGCTTCATCGAACTTAAACGTAAATGTTTTGTCATGACTTCATCGTAAATGCTTCATCGAACTTAAACGTAAATGTTTTGTCAAGACTTCATCGTAAATGATTTGTCAAGACCTCATCGTAAATGATTTGTCATAACTTCTTCGTAAATGATTTGTCATAACTTCTTCGTAAATGATTTGTCAAGACCTCATCGTAAACACTTTGTCATGACTTCGTCGAACTTAAACGTAAACACTTTGTCAAAACTTCTTCGTAAACACTTTGTCATGACTTCTTCGTATATGTTTTGTCAAACTGCATCGAAACTAAACGTAAACACTTTGTCAAAACTTCATCGTAATGAACGTAAATGACCAAAAATAATTTTTAGGTGAAGAGGTGAGATATCACCTGTTTTTTCACCTAATTTTTCACCCTCGCCGCTTAGCGGCTCAGACCCTTTGGGTCTCGTGAATTTTCATGACTTTGTCATGATTTCATCGTATATGTTTTGTCAAGACTTTGTCATAACTTCTTCGTAAATGTTTTGTCAAGACTTTGTCATGACTTCATTGTAAATGTTTTGTCATAACTTCTTCGTAGATGCTTTGTCATGACTTCATCGTATATGTTTTGTCATAACTTCTTCGTAAATGTTTTGTCATAACTTCTTCGTAGATGCTTTGTCATGACTTCTTCGTAGATGCTTTGTCATAACTTCTTCGTAGATGTTTTGTCAAGACTTTGTCATAACTTCTTCGTAAATGTTTTGTCAAGACTTCTTCGTAAATGTTTTGTCATGACTTCATCGTAAATGTTTTGTCAAGATTTCATCGTATATGTTTTGTCATAACTTCTTCGTAAATGTTTTGTCATAACTTCTTCGTAAATGTTTTGTCAAGATTTCATCGTAAATGATTTGTCATGACTTCATCGTGTATGTTTTGTCATGACTTTGTCATAACTTCTTCGTAAATGTTTTGTCATAACTTCTTCGTAAATGTTTTATCAAGACTTCATTGTAAATGTTTTGTCAAGATTTCATCGTAAATGCTTTGTCATGACTTCTTCGTAAATGCTTTGTCATAACTTCTTCGTAGATGCTTTGTCATGATTTCATCGTATATGTTTTGTCAAGACTTTGTCATAACTTCTTCGTAAATGTTTTGTCAAGACTTCTTCGTAAATGTTTTGTCATGACTTCATCGTAAATGTTTTGTCATGACTTCTTCGTAAACACTTCATCGAACTTAAACGTAAACACTTTGTCAAGATTTCATCGTAAATGTTTTGTCATGACTTCATCGAACTTAAACGTAAACACTTTGTCAAGATTTCTTCGTAAATGCTTCATCGAACTTAAACGTAAACACTTTGTCATGACTTCATCGTAAATGATTTGTCAAGACTTTGTCAAGGTTTCATCGTAAATGCTTTGTCATGACTTCTTCGTAAATGCTTTGTCATGACTTCATTGTAAATGTTTTGTCAAGATTTCATCGTAAATGCTTTGTCATGACTTCTTCGTAAATGCTTTGTCATAACTTCTTCGTAGATGCTTTGTCATGATTTCATCGTATATGTTTTGTCAAGACTTTGTCATAACTTCTTCGTAAATGTTTTGTCAAGACTTCTTCGTAAATGTTTTGTCATGACTTCATCGTAAATGTTTTGTCATGACTTCTTCGTAAACACTTC